TCTCACCAAACTAGACTACATTTTTCTCTCTCCGGACTTAGCAACTAGAAAAATCTAACTATCTACTTTAGCCAGCAACTCAGATCATTTGCTTCTCTTAACAAAACTTACTAGCAAATCTTCCATCGATCACTCTACTTTCTGAAAACTTAACAACCATATCACTAAAGACTCTCTCCTAATGATCTTTGCTACGGATATCATACATAATTCCAATAACTAGGATCATGGCAAAAAAGAAGTTTCCTTCTTTCTATAACAATAGTTAAGAAAATCTGTCACTAAAAAAAATACCTCATCAATAAGCTCCAATGACGTAATATAGGCTACCAAAAAACTCTCACACTTATCCCTAATGCTGATGATATTCACTCTCTTCTGAAAAAGGAAAAGATTGAATTAAACTCTCTCATAGAAGAAAACTCCCAAAAATAGCAAATCAGGTCCAGAGCTAAATGGACTGAAAAGGGTGAAAAATTCACCAAGTACTTCTATTCCAGATTTATAGAATGTCTAAATAGCTCTCCTTTTCTTCTCATCAAAGATCTTTCAAACTCCTCAATAACTAATCAACAAACAATTCTTAATTATATTAGACAATGGTATCAACACCTATACTCGCAAGATGAAGTTTCCTTTTCAGACATATCAGATTTTTTTACAAATGTCACACCATTTCCAGGCAATAAGAATGACATTATTATCCCTATCACTCATGATCTTATCAAATCTACTATAATGAGCCTATCCAACAACAAGTCTTCAGGCCCAGATGGTCTGACCTATGAATTCTACAAGTCTGCCTTATCACACATTATTGACTCCCTTTTTTCTCTATTCAACTCAATTCTTTCTAATAGCATCATTCCTAGTTCATGGACCAGATCACTCATTACTCTCATATCAAAAAAAGATAATGACAAAACTCTAGTTCAGAATTAGAGACCTATTGCTCTAATCAATACCGATACAAAGATCTTTCTCAAGATTTTGATGGAATGGTTAGTCAAAGTTGCAAGTCATCATCTCCCACATCATCAAAAAGACTTCCTTCCTGAAAGAAATACTATTAACGCCACCTTAAACATCTTAACAGCTACTGAGGTTCTCAAATCTTATACCAACACCCTCACATATCTACTTTAACTAGATCAATAGAAGGCTTTTGACAGAGTGAATTACCAGTATCTCTCGAAAGTCTTAGAACACTTTGATCTTCCATCTGTCTTTATTCAACTAGTTAATAATATCTTCAGATAATAATCAGTCAATATCACTGACAATAAATATTTATCCAATAAATTCAGACTAGAAAGAGGAGTCTGGCAGGATGACTCGCTTTTTCCTATTTTATTTGCTCTCTCAATAGAACCACTCCTTGCAACTCTGTCCTCCTCTTCTTATCAAATTAACAGTTATCTTGATAATAATCAGGCCTATGCAGATGACATAACTATTCTAGCTCTGAGTAATTTACATTTAGACTTCATTTGCGATATAATCAAGAAATACGAAAGAGCCTCTAATGCAAGAGCCAATCTCAATAAATCAGTTCTTATCCCACTAAATGATCTTGCCAAAGCCAACATACATTCCTTACAAAACAAATATCAGTTCACTATTCCTAATCATAATGCTGATATCAACATCCTGGGCTTTCACTTCAATACCAACTTTATAATGCATCATTCCACCTGGCCTACGCTGATCAAGAAACTTAAAAAAAACTCTTTCTTTTGAAAATTAGAGATATCTCTCTCAAAGACTGTGCCTTAACAGCAGGCTTTCTACTGGCTTCCAAAATCTGATACACATCCTACATTTTTCCTTCCTTAATGTGACAAGTAGACACTATACAATCTTTATTAAACAGATGGGCCAGAGGTAATTCTAAATCTCTCCCCTCTTCCGCTATCATTCAACTTTCAAAAAACAAAGGTGGCTGGAATCTTTCTAACATCAAGCCTGCCATTAAAGCTCGGTCAGCCATGATAACCACCAAACTTTTTCATGCCAAAGAAAATTGGATCAAATACCAACTTTCCATAATCAGCTCTTTCCAAAGCAACTTCATCAAAATCCATCTTCAATACAAAAAGAAAGACTGGCTAACAGCCTACCGACCCTTTGTAAAAAATTGGTTTCTGGCAGGTAGACCAAATTTCCTTACTTTCTCTATCTCCCTCATCACTACCAAGTTAAAAAAAGAAATATATCTCAAAAAAGTGTGGCCGGTAGTTAAAAATGTGCTATAAAAAAATCTGAACATAATTAATCTTCCTCCACAGACTCACGTAAATGCATAGAGATGGCATCATAGTGCACTACCCCTGAAGGAATAGGTCTTCTGGTCTTTCTCTATTGACTCTATCTTCTGTCAGTGGTGCTCTACATCTCCTCAAATGTACCAACACTTTCTTCAAGAATGCTCATTCACCAAGATGATTATACAAGAAATCGTATATCACCTCAATGGACATGTCACCTTTATCCATATTCTAAATCAACATCCTAATGACTTCTCTCTCACTACTCTCTGGCTCTCCTCCTGGCTTATCGATTACATTTGGCAGACTTTTGCTAGACTCAACCTCAATATCAAAGAGTCCAAAACTCAAATCATAAAAGCAGCTCTGCATATTCTCCTCAGAGATGCGAAAATTCACCTAGATAGTTCTCAAAATAATAAATTTACCAAACAAATAGATCTACTATGTAAATCACTTGTACCTTAATTCTATATCATGTATTTATTCAATAAATGGGTTCTTGCTTCACCCTCCCTTTTGGGAAAAAAAAAAGATATGTACAAGAGCATCATAATGATGAAATTAATTCAAAAACTACAACAATTCACCAAAGCTGTTTGAATGTGAACTAAATAGCAAGTCAGTATCATCTTTAATTATAAATGATAACTCTTATCTTTATCAGTGGAGAAAATAAGTTAATGTTAACAAATATCAACATTTGTCAAAGACAAATTTTATATCGAAATACATGTTCATACTAATACAATTTGATGTTAGAGATAGGGTAACTTTGATCCTCTAATTCGTATATTGATTACTTGTTCATTTCAATTTATTGTGATTCCAATAAATCAGGTAATAAATTTTATGTTATTTTATTTTTGGTAAATACAGTAATTATATGTGTATTTTTCTTTGACTGTCCGTAATGTTTTAATCGACTGCCTTCGCATAATTCTTTACTTTTAAAACCACATTAGAAATTTACATATGATTCAGTCTCTTTAAAAAATAGAAATGCATTATCTTCGTCAGATAAGACATACCCTTTCCTTTTTCATCTCCGAAAGTATTTGCAAATTTCTTAATTTGATTTCCTTATAACTACTGGGATAGGGATATTGAAAGTATCAGATTGCAATAATAGATTTCAGGTAAAAGTTACAATGCACAAGTTTCTCTGTAGAGCATAGATAATGTATGAATAAAGTGAAATAATTAATTTTCTTCCAATTTAATTGAACTAATGGTATTTGTGCTTTAAGTACATTATAACAGTGTCGTTCAGAACATATTTTGATTTTTAAAAACAAAAAACCAATTTTCACTTTAGAAAATGTTCATTTATGAACTCTAGAATAATTAGTTTTGAAGCATGTAATAATTTCAACCCATCACTTTTCATTATCTAACTGACTTTAAAAAATTGAAGAAATTGTGCCAGTAACTACGGTTACTGCTGACGTTAATTTGAGTGTTTAATAATATGAGAGATGATTTGAAATGGATGCTGCAAATAAAGGATCTGATTAACGATAGAGTTCTTTAAGTCGATGAAAAAGGTTTCTAACGTCAAATAACGAAACACTGTGCTGGCTTAACCAAGGCTCAAAAGCATGCCTGCATATATGTACAGTCAGACTCCTCTAAATGCATAGTTGCATATAATTGGGACTTAGTCGCCAAATGCAAACTCCTTTAAATGCATATTATACAGTAGTCCAGACAGCATTCATTTAGAGAAGTTTGACTGTACATTGATTTTTGGGTACATGTTTTGATCTATATTTTGGAGCAATTGGATAAATTATACCAAAAACTATTCTATTCTGATGATATTTGTCAGCTCTGTCCAACTCGAGTTTCATTAACTTGCCATCCGAGGCAGTTTAATACGAGTCTTATTTCCCTCTGACAGAGATTTGTCCCAAATATGAATTGATGCTCAGAATCCACGTTGACTAATAACAGTTTTAAAAGAGATACGTTTGATATATGTTCTGAGAAGTTGATGAACTAGAATTAATTTTTGTTTGGTAAGTTCCGTATCAGTAAATTGATTTTATTTAATAAAAGAATAAACTGAGAAATTCTTCTAAGGATAATATCCACAATTGACAAAATGCTATTTAGAAGACATGTATTTAAGTGAGTCGGAGATGAGCTGATATATGTTTTTGTCAATTACGAATTGATATTCTATAGATTCCAATTATTTTGATAATTTTTAGCTGAACAAGATTGATAATATGAAAAATCACCCGGAAGAGATTGTAGAGACTTGTTCATATTTGAAATATATATGTAATAAATGAATTCCGTATCATTTTTCGACACAAGCAAATATTTTTAAAATAATATATAATAAATTATATTACATATTATTCAAAAACGATTTACATGTACTAATAAACGAATAACATGTAATTTCACATTTAAGCTGAGTGCAATAGAAACGATGTACATTCTATTAGAAATTTCTAATAGAATTTACACCGTTTTCTATTGCATTCAGCCCATGTTAAATATTACAAAAATAAAAGTTACAAAATAGGTGATTATCATACTGATACATGTATGGGATTGTGATAACGATAGGACATTTCTAAATTAAGTTTTTTTCACAACACTGTACATATATACGGAGTTTTAGCTAGTATTTAAACTTTAAAAACTCATTCTTGGTCTCGTCAATTATTTATAAGAAATATTTTTATGAAACAGAAATTTTCTTTTACAATAATTATAATGTATTTTATTCGTAAAATTGGTTTCAGATGTTTTTTATTTCTTACTTTTATTTTAAATGCTTTAACTTTATATGTTAATAGTATTATTTCTACTCCTATTATTCCTGTTTATATTCCCGGTAATAGTAATATTACTCATATTAGTGCTATTAATAGTTCTGCTGTTGATATTACTAATAGCTCTTCTGATAATAGTTCTGCTGTTCCTCCTCCTGCTAATATTACTTCTTCTGATAATAGTTCTGCTGTTCCTCTTCCTGCTAATATTACTTCTTCTGATAATAGTTCTGCTGTTGATATTCCTCCTCCTGCTGCTAATATTACTCATACTGGTACTACTAATAGCCCTACTATTTATATTGGTACTAATCATCTTAATACTACTAATACTTTACCAACTGGTAATCTCACAGGAGGAAATAGTACTTTACAAGGAAATAGCACAACATCAGGAAATAATACTTTACAATCAAATGGTACTTCAAAAGAAAATTTTAATTCACAGGCAAGATACGGACATACATCGAATCTTATAAATCAAAAAATATACGTTATTGGCGGGAAAAATGCAACTGCATTTACCAATGATGCGCTTGTACTGGATTTTTCATCAAATTCTTTGGATACTATTGTCATCAATATAAATAGTGTTAGCCTGAATTTTTCTGTTGCGTGGGGAACTTCTGTTGATGATGGTACTAACATTTTTTATTTTGGCGGCGTCACATCCAATGTAAAGTTATATTGATAATGATTAAACCTTTATTTAAATCGGATTATACATGTACCTATGTTAACATATTGCAAATTTTTATTTTCCTTAATCTAGAATAACCTAAATGCGAAAATCATCCAATTCGATACAGAACAAAACCAGTTATCATCCATCACCTTTGATGCTTTAAATCCACCGAGTGCACGACGCGGCCTAAATTCGGTCCTTGAAAATGGAAGATGGCATATATATGGCGGATCTAGCAACATTGATGATGACCCTTATAGCTTGATGCCAAACAACGATACTTTTGTACATTATTTAACGTTAAAAACAAAAAAGTTTACAGATCTAAGCACATATTTAAAAACTCGATTTGACTATACAGCGACGATATTAGGAAATAATATTATATATATTGGTGGTCAAACAACCAGTGGCTTTATTGGCATGGAAGAAGTAACTGTTGAATTTTATCTTTCTTTCTCATAAAACTTAATTAAAATTTGCTAATTTTTTACCTGTTAAAAGATTTGGATGTTTCAGACAGATGAGATGCAATGGTTACTGTTAAATGTAAGGCATTTTTTTTACAATATGATAATTTACAAACAAAAAATCTAAAGCTTTTAATTTTTTTTTATTTCATTCTAGAACCTATCTAATCCCGCCCTGGTACCAAACCGTGGTGGTCATACTGCTGTAAAATGTTAGCGTTGGTTCATTTTTAAATTAAGTCTTATATTTCGCTTAAATTTTTTAACGCTAACTTTTTTTTCGGTAATATGTGTTAATTAAAGTAAGCAACAATAGTCTTTTGATATATGGTGGATATTCGGATCCTAATTCAGTTCGAATGAACAATAATAATGCTGTTGCATTATTTAGCCTTCAAAATTATAAAGACTTCATTTGGACTTTGCCAATCATTTCATATCAAAATCCATTGTATCAAAATCAACCGATACCCTATTGGCATACAGCAACAATCTACAATAACAATAATTATAAGTATATGATAGTCGCTTATGGTAGGGTATTAAAGAAAATGCGTTGATTCAAAAAATATATTAAATTTGATTAATATTATTTAGGTAAATTCGATACTACGATCAATAATACTCAACTGATGGCTATGCCAGTAACTATACTTAATGTCAGTAATGATATTTCGATGCAATGGGTTCAATTAATAATAACCCAATCACCAGATGTACCTGAAAATCGAAAAATTAATATAGGGTTAATAGTTGGAGGTGTTATAGGAGGCGTAACGCTAATATGCATCGTGCTAATAGTTTTTATTATATATAAAAAGAAACAAAAAGTATTGAAAGATGATCAAATTCAAGATTCTAATGAAGTTATTCAAGCCACGCAAAATTTACCCGAAATGATACAAGAATCGAATTCTATCAACCCAGAAATGATTCATCAGTCAGACGATAACGAAATTGTGCAATCGCATCAATTACCTGAGAAGATCGCAAGTAAACCAAATAATCAGGATATTAAACAACCAACTACAAGAGAAAATAAATTTAACTTTCACGTCTCCTTTCACTCACCAATAAGAATTTCTAAAGAAAACTAAATTATTTATTCATATATGTTGTATAGTTTTTTTCAATTGGATATTAATTCTTCCACTATTTTTCTGTCAAAATATACAAAAGAATGTTTTCGTTTGCTGGTATTACTTCTTATTATGTTATGTACTAAAAATAAACAAATATATACTCTTTAAGTAATACAATTTTTTAAGCTCTCACAATTAAAAAGGAGGCCAATTACATGTACAAGTAAATGTAAAACTTTATCCATAATTAATTTTCCGCGCAGACTGTATGTACATGTACTTGCCGTTTAATTTGAGCAAGCTATTATATCGATTTTCTATTTTAGAAAATAATGCACTTCTGGAATTATCATCAAATGATAATATTTTGAATTTGATAGTTTTTATCAATCAATGTTAACGTCAATAAATGTTATACAATGGCTCTCAGAAGAAATACAACACGAAAAGTTTTGTGAAAAAAAATTCCAGTGACTCTAACATCGATTCAGAATACCTGGTTCCTATACTCATTTTAAAAGCTAATAACCTAGAGAATCTTTTAAAATCCTAAAAATTATATTAATGCTGCCATTCTAAAGAATTGAGTGATATACATGAATATTTTAATTAGTGAAATAATAGTTTGTTATCAGGGAGGATTGATGCGAATTGACCTAATAAAAAATGTAATTCTTAGGGAGAACTATTATATACCAATTTTCAGCTAAATTGGTACCAACTTCGTTGAATTATTTGATTCCGAAGTACTAGATGAAGCACATTTTTTATTAGGTCAATCCTCCCTGATAACAAACCTATTTAGAGTTAAAATTTCACTAATTAAAAATATTCATGTAAATCACTCAATTTCTTTATAATGGCAGCATTAATATGGTTTTTAGGATTTTTAAAAATATTCTCTAGGTTATTAGCTTTAAAATGAGTATAGGAACCAGGTATTCTGAATCGATGTTAGAGTCACTGGAATTTTTTTTGTAAACTTTACGAGTTGCATTTCTTTTTTGAGTTACTGTACCATTTGTTTTAATCGGATCTACCAAAACCCGACGCCTAAAATACCGAAATGCCAACATCCGGAACGCCATGCCCAAAATCCCGAATACTTAAAATCCTGAATGTCCAAAATCCCGACTTACTTAAATCCCGAAATATACTCAAAATATGTAATAACATACATGCGAAATATAAAGTTGAAATTTGTACTAATTTACCCTTACTCTTTTTAGGTATGTGAAATTTTAAGGTAGTGTATATGTTGACATTTTGGTTTTTGGGGCATTCAGGATTTTGAGTATTCAGGATTTTGGGCATTCGGATATTGGGCATTCGGATATTGGGCGTTCGGGATGTTGAGCATTCGGATGTTGGACATTCGGGAAGTCGACATTTCGAGATTTTGGACACCAAGATTTTGGGCGGCACCCGTTTCAATCATAAAAAAGGAGTTATTCTATCATGAAACTCTAAAATATTATCAAAAGAAAATGTAATTAAAAATGGTTTATAATAAAAGAGTGGAATTAGTATTTCAATTAGTCTAATGGAATCAAATCAATGAAATAATAGTGAACTTATAGTTAAAACACATAAAAGTTACGATTCGTATTGAATATGCGTATAATTAGTACTGGAATGTAATCGAAACATAGTCATGTGACTTAAATACATGTAATCATTTAACATAGTAATATTAAATCCCATAATTTTTGCATTAATTCATTTATAATTCACCACGTGTATGTACTAAACCCGTGATCCTTCTGATGTGACCTGCAGGTAATCGACTCATGCTATCTGGACCTAATTCGAAACTAAAAATGGAAACAAAAAATAAAATAATAATAATAATAATAATAATACCTATAAAAGCTATAACACTTACCTAACAATAACCACAAGCTGACTTAGTTATGTGCGGTTATACAAAAAGTAACGTCCGATTTTTTTAAAAAAAAAATTTGGAATTATTTTATTTCTGTCTTATAAAAAAAAATAATATTTGTTTATTACTAGTTAATATATTAATAGTTCTTCATATGGCTTTAATATTGCTTTGATTTCTCAAGATATTGAGACTATAGCCTTATCAAAAACACATCAAATTTTCTTCGGAGTAGTCTTGAGCTTCTCATGATCCTTGAGAAGCTTTTGCATTTTTGAATATTGTTTTTCAAAGACTTGCAGAAATTTCTATGAATTCAGAGTCAAGATAATTCAATATTTATTGATTTTCTCTATTTTATAGCTTCTTTTCCTAATGTAAATCAAGTTTTAATTTTTTGAAATATCATGTTCTCTCAAATTAATGGATAAATTATATTATAAAAAGAGATCAAAATATCATATAAACTCTTCAGATAAGCATTTGCATAAATTTTTATTATAAATATTATAAATGGCTCAGAATATCTTTTTAACTTCTTGTATAAGTACATTTTTCTTGATTATTGAAAGTTTATAATCTTCCAGACAGTGATAAATTTTTGTTTTTCTGTCTCTTTTGTACTTGATAAGAGACTATTACAGTATAATCAGATCACAATATATTTTTTTTGATTTGAAAGAAAAAAATAAAACTTGATTTATATTAGAAAGAAAAAATAAAATAGAGAAAATCATATCAAGTAAGTTACAATGAACAAATTATATTATTATTCTTTAATATTCTTTTATATTCTTCCATATCTTTCAAAATCTTTCTACATTTTTCAATATCTTTCCATATCTTTTAATATTTTTCTATATCTTTTAACATCTTTTCATGTATTCTGATATTCTTTAATATTTTTTAATATCTTTCAATATACTTTAATATATTATACTTTTAATTATTTATATTATAGTACTTTAAATTATATTATGTAATTATATAGTATTAATTAGTAATGCTATAATAATTTTTGTATCTAAAAAATATATAAAAGAATTTGCTTTTCTAGTATGAAATAAATAGTTTTGAATTGAATTATTTGAAAAATATAATTTTAAAAGATTACTTTTTCTAATTATACTAGTATTTTTTCTTTCACTTAGTTTTATTTTTTTGATCATACAAAGTTAATTTTGATTTAAATTATAATATTATATTAATTTTTGATTTTTGATATTATTTTGAGAATAGAAGATCTTTACTATAAATAAGCTATACTTTTTATTTTATTATTTTGAGAATAGAAGATCTCTACTATAAATAAGTTATACTTTTTTATTTTTATTTAGTTATTTAATTTTTATATTTTAGTTTTTATCTTTTATTTAGTTATAACCTTTTTTAATTAATAGTTTTTACTATTTAATCAATTCAAATCTTGAATTATATTGATTATTAATAGCTTTACTCAGTCAATCTTTATAATTTCTTTGATTTATTTATTTATTTCTTTATTTATTTTCCTTTTTGTTAAGATAATATTCATAGATATTGATACAAATCTTAAAAATCTTCGTCATATTGAAAGTTATAGTCTAATTTCTCTCTCTTCACTCTTTAATTATTTTAATCTCTCCTAATCCTATATTATTAAGATAAATTCAAGTGAGAATCTATTTACTAATTCAGTATAATATATTTTTGGTACTCTCTCTGTGAAGAAAAATCTTCTTCACATCTCTTATTATATTTTTATATTTTTATATTCTTTTTATATTCTTTTTTATATTCTTTTCTTTCTTTATTTATAATTAATAAATACTTGTATCTTGAATTTTCATGATCAATTATTATTTTTTTATTAGACTATTAATTAACTATCATCTTAATATATATCAAATTCCTAATTATTCTATCAGAATACTCTCTCAAGACTTTTATTCCTATTATTATCTCCTTCAATCTCAAATTATTATATAATTTTATATCTTTTACCTACTCACAAAAAATATTAGAATAATATCAATTAATTAAATTACATATCTATTATTTCAAGAACTAATTTAATTGATCTTACTAAAATATATAATAGTTAATTGAGATAAAGAATAGTATAACTGCTTTTTCTAATAATAACTACTATTCAAAAAAGTTGAACTGTAAAAATATAATTCTTTATGTATAGCAGTTAAATCTTTCAGATTCTTTATTAATATATTTCTTTAAGTATTTTTTACATATTAAATAAATCTTTCTTGTGAGTTAAAGATTATATTTTGAAAGTACTTGCTTAATATCTTTTGACTTTTCTCTCAATTATACTAATGAATAGTTATCAGAAAATATTATTAATTATATGTATTTCTCATTATACTCATTAATATATTAATTATTACATATTTTAAATTGTACTTTTCCAGGATTCAAGTTTATTTTGTTATAATCAATATATCTTCTGCCATAAAATTATAATTGGTTAATTGATTAAAATAAAAAACTCTAATATATTCAAAATATAATATCTTGAATATTAGAATTACTTTATAAATAAGTTAGTCTAATATATATTCTGATCTTTAATATCTATTAGCTTGAAAAAAATGAAAAATAAATAATTTCTTATATTCAATATGTAGATTTTTATACAATTACTGATTAGATAGCTGTAATAATTCATAACATGGACAAAGAAAAATCAAAATCATAATAAAACATTCTATATATTTCAAGTATAAAATATTCTCTTTTTCTTATATCCAAATTCTTCATTATCTGTTATTGGTATAGAAATGATATTTATTATATATTATTTAAATAAATTCTTTTTTTTCTGACTAGAACTAGAGCTCTAATATAATATCTAATATATTTCTATCAAAGTCTTTCATATTATTCTTGTATATAAATATTTTTTTATCTATTTCTTCCTATATTTTACTATATCTAAATATTTATGTTCATTAAAATAAATATTTCTTCTTTTATTATACATAAATCTCTATATATATATAGTTACAATATATCTTCTTAGAAATAGAGTCTTTTTTAATATAATTAGTCAAATTTAAAAATAATATCTCTTTGATATATATCTTTAGATTACTAGAAGATTGAGCTTTTGGTTTTTATTATTGTAACTATATCTGATAGCTTTTAAAAAAATCTTTATCTTCTATTAAACTTTTGAGTTTTGTATATTTTTCTTGGTGATAAACAAGAAGCTCTTCTATCTTTATGAAATAATTATCCAAATATACTTGGATATATACTTCTCTTTCTTGTATATATCTTGTATAATTTACTTGCTAATATCTATCTTATCTCATTCTTTTAATAATAATTGAATAAATTGATATATATTTAAAAGATATAAATAGTTGTATGTAAAGACTTAACAATTTATCTTGATATTCTTTCCTATCAAATATTTCTGGTTAAGTATTTTCAAGTGGGCACAAAGATTTTCTAATAATTTACATATATTTAATAATAATAATATATTAATATCAGGTTAAAAAGTAGTTTAA